GTGGGGTGGGGTGGGGGGCAGGCAGGGGAGAGAGACTTTGTTGGTGGGGAGGGGACCTGAGGCTGCAGAGGCAGAAGTGGTATGCGAGAATGGGAAGGATGAATCAGGGCAGCCTGAGGCTGCATAGATCAGGCACGATGGTGGGATAAGTCAGATCGGGGGGAGGGGGGTAGGTGGCAGGGGGCAAGGTGCCTGCCCCTCTCACTGCTTGCCCCACCACCTCCATACTGCTTGCTCCCTACTGTCTGTCCCTCACTACCTTCCCCATTACCACCCCCACCACTTGCCCTACCATGTGCCCTCTACTGCCCCACTGTCTGCCCCACCACCACCTGCCCCATTACTGCTCCCCTCATCACCTCTCCCCCCACCACCTGCAGTACTGGGGGAGGAAGGGGGGAGGATTTAAGATGATCCTCCAATAATTAGATTCAATATATAGAAAATGATAATAAATTTATCAATTTCCTTGTGTAGAATCTAATATTTGGAGGGGTGTCTTACATTCAGGGTCATCTTGTATTCAGGTACAGTACACACACGTGTATTTCAGAAACTAATGACAGTTTCAAAATAAAACCATTGCATGTGCAATGGTCATGTACTGGACCACATCATTTCTCTACACAGTCATAAACAGAGATTCTTGGTTTTCTCTGATTTAAAAATATCCCCAATTTTCAGATTAAAAAAAGTAATGCAAAATCCACATTTTTCCATGATTAAAATGAAACACCAGTAATATAGATATATGCATAGTGGTGTTTCATTTTAATCATGGCAAAATGTGGATTTTGGGTTACTTTTTTAATCTGAAAATTGGGGATTTTTTATGAAAGAAAGCCAGGATCCCCAGTCATAAACGACAGGTGCATTTAACAGTGCTGCCATCAGTGTTCTCTGCTTCTGCGTTGTTTCTCTCTCACTGTACACACAATTGTTTTATTTCAAAATTGCTGTTACTTTCTGAAACACCTTCCTACACACATGCACACACACGCATACCTCAGAGCTGATGGAGGTGCTGACAGGAATAAGATCGTTTTTCTTTTTATTCCATTATCCTTGATGAGCTATGGAAGAAGGAACTAAAGTCTATCCCTTCTTAGGCATCAGTGATTCTGATTAGGCACCTTTAAGGAGTTACGTACTTTAGAAAATCCTAAAACAAATAGATCAACTGCATTGCTTACTATGTTCCAATCAATTTAATTGAGGCAACTGGAGTGGGACAGATGGTGTTGAGAACCTACTCTTGACCTGCAGGCCTTTAAGTGTTGATGCTAATGTGCAAGAAGGAAAGATACCAGCTTAGACTTTCAGATCATGAGCTAGTGCAGGGAAGACAGATGGGAAACACAGTCTGTCGGGCTACTTGGGTGTCACTTTTCAGTGGAGAACTCTGCTTTAAATACAGTAAAAGCTGTGTTAACCAGCATTTTAATAACCAGAATACTCAATTAACTGGAATTTCCAATATCTCCCAGTACAAATCCTCACTTTAGCAACTGGAATCTTTGCCGAGTCTATCTGGCATGCACATGCGCATCAAGTATTTGCACTACAAGTATGGCACTGTCTTCAGTATAACACTCAGATAACCAGAATTTTTACATTACTGGCACCCCCTTTACCCCACTCATGCCGGATAACAAAGCTTTTACTGCAGTCTTAAAATTAAGGGAATACAAGGGCCAAACCAGTAACTCTCTGGACTCCCACACTGCACAGCCCCAGTTCCAGGACAGAGCCAGTCATTCCCCTAGTGTTTTGGATGTTTGGAAGGGCTGTGTAAGGACGACAAGAAATCCCAGTGCTCACAGAGCGTCTCTCCAATCTGTTTATCTAATGAGCTTGACTTCCTGCTTCTCCCTTTTCCATAGGCAGCAAAGAGACAAGAGATGCAGTGGATGATGTCCATAACAGTGTGAAAAATGTGGATGGCAAGGTGGAAGAACTTACCCAAATGGTGAAAATGTGTAAGTTACCATCATAACTTTTTCCCTGTGGAAGGATGTCCTGAAGGTGCTGACAATGCTAGTGAGGCTAGTGAGTTCACCATAATGATTCTCAGATGAATGGTTGCTCTTACCAGTCTGATTACAAGTACCTGCACAGGCTACTTCAAACTCCGCCCTATTCCCATTTTGCATGGCTTTACCTTGTTACCGTGTCAAGCCTGAAATCTGCCCAACCACTATCCAGCCGGGGTTTCTCCTTTCCCCACAGGAGAAGCCTTCCCTAGTGGGGTTGTCTTGGTGGGAAACAAATTAGCCAAAATCTAAACAAGTGGGTAGAGGAGGAATCTTTGAAGTCTAAATCTTTCCACTGTGTGAAAGTTTCCCTTGGTTGCCTTACTATCTGCCCAGGCAGGAAGGCAGGATTGGGCCAATTTAAAGAATTCCAATACTACATACACGCAGGCTGACAATTACTCAAGTTGATTTTAACAACTGTTTTTGCAGTGGCACATTAGCCCTCCTTCCCCTGCTTTACTTGAGGCCTTGTAGTTGTACAACAGGGTTGTTTGTGTAGTTCTAGGAATAGGTTAAACCATATTTATATGGGATGGTTTGGATCCTGCCTTGTAAGATCTCCACCATTGGACAGGGGGTTGGGTGGGATGAAAGAGATGGGAGAGAGGGACAGATAGACAGACAGAGACAGAGGAAGAAGAAGAAGAAGAGAGAGAGAAGGAAGAGGAGGGAGGAAGGGAGGGAGGGAAGGAGAGCTTGTGATTTGATATTTTGTCTCCCATGGAGTTCTTCCTGGAATTCTTATTTGGCCACAGTGTGGCTAGACCAGTGGAGGGACATTATTTCGGGTGGAGGGCTGCTTACCAAGTTTTCGCAAGCTGTTGAGGGTGTCATGGGTAGCCCCACTTCTTGACAGGTGCCCTGTCCCCTGGTCACCATCTTGTGGCTGGAAATCCCACCCCCTAACCCCTGACCTTTGCCACTAGAAGTCGCTCACCTTGCCCCTGGAAGTACTCTTTTCAGCAAGGGGTTTTGCCATCTTGGAACCATAAAAATACCAAATTATAGTCTAAAAAGTGAATATCTAAAACATTAATTAATTTGATTTTTAAAAATATTTTTGTCCTGGTTTACATGTGTTTGTGTTGTGTACATAGAGGTGATTGTATATAATAGCTAGAAATGAAGTCTTATTCTTGTATATTGTGGGGGGGGTATAGGTTTGTGGGGGGCTGTGG